TCGCTGAACTAGTGAGAAGAAATTTCCACAACGTTAAATGATAACTATAATAAGCTAGCAAACGGAAAAAAAAAAAATAGAAAATTTTCACCTCCGATCGCATATTCGCCATAGTGAAGCAAGCATGGACAGAAACACTGGGAGAACGACGAGTCCATGAATGAGACCGAATATTGACACTAATACAACAGTCTGAAGTAGCCGCAGATGCTTGTTGTTTCGAAACAATCAGAGTTGTATCTTTACTACTTCTTTCAAGAAATTAGGCTAAACGAAGCACGTTCTATTTAGAAGCAAATCGGTCAGCAGTAAAAGTAAGCAAAGTTTCCTCGCGAAATCGCTTCCCACTTGTACTACCTTGCTACTGATCTTTCACCAAAAGTTCGGTCTTTACATATTATAATATTTCCTTTCATCTACTGCTGCTTGCTTTTGTGGAATTCAGAATTTTTTTTGCAAGCTCGGTGGCGCTCACACTCGTGCGGACTCCTTTATCTACGTGGTTATCTTCCCTGGGACCTTCAGCTTCCCTACCACTGTTTTCGAATTTTTCACCTTTCACTCACATTTTCACAATCCCTGTATTGTGAGCACGCCTGTTACGACAGATAAACATGTCTCGGGCGACAGAACCAAGGACTCGCTCCAAACGCATTCATTCCTAACCGACGGGGACATCAAGACCCAAGAGGGTGAATAGACTACGCCTGTCCAGCTACGGTTTACGGATTAACTCCGTTCAACTTTGGCTAGCTTCGAGAAGGTCGGTACGTTTCTTGGCAAGAAGGCTGAGAGACTTTGGGACGCTATTGCGTTAGCAGTCACCGAGGCCTGGCGCCACGCGGGGTACTCAACCTCTTCCTCCTCCTCCTCAAACGCACTTTTCAGCCAACAACGTTAGCCTTGTTGACGAGCTATAGTGATGAAGAGCGTAATTTATTTATTTATAATTCAATGCACGCAGAGGTGCTTAATCACTGAAGTTTCGTTAATAGTCGTTTTCTGATCGTTCACAGTCCAATGCAAGTATCGTAGCGTATCTGAAGGAACCGGATTATTAACCAACTTGTCTGAGGAGCGCAAATTTTGAAGGAAAGGTTTGCCTCAGAGAATGAGCCGCCCGATCGAGCATGTCTATAAATAGTCAACCCGTTCTCTTCAGTGAGGGAAGAAAAGTTTTACGGTAGTAGCTTTGATCGGAAGAATGCTACGTCTATGTTCAGGAGTTGTAGGATACCCTAGTCTTGTCCAACTGTTACAGTTATCTCTCTGACGCCTGGTTTTCGTGATGGTTCTATTACGTCTTGAATAACCCAGAATAGTGTATACTGTTTTATGAGCTTTAAATACCATTAGGAGAAAAAATCTGCTCCAGCGCTATTTTTGTGACTCACCTTTAAGAATACAAGCCCAAGGTAGCTCGGCTTTATTAAAATTGGCAACATCGCAAATAATGTGCTCAGTCCACCTTGCATCGTTGGCCATCCGATGTTCAAATAAGCATCTTCCAGTTTCTCACGAGGCGTCTAAAAGTATCAATCGTTTTTCTAACTTGTTCGTAGGAGTTTACGTAAGTTACTAATATAACAAATGCTAAAGCCTGCCGAAAATCAAAAAAAGTGTTCCTGCTGTTCTTCTATGAACAAGTAATGGAATGACTAGAGAGTCAAGAAATGTTTTAGCTGGACTTCCATCCATGGATCTGGATTATAATATCACTAGTCGGCTCGCGGGCTGACGCCGGCGCGGCTCCCTTTGTTGTACGGCCCGGCTTTGCCGGGCGGGCGCGGTGCTGCCGAGTATTGAAGCTGGGTACTGAACAATACTCAGCTGTAACCCAGCTTTTGTTTCATCTGTACACATGGTCAGCGCTCCTTAACCAATAGCATCACACCTGCTGCTTCCAATACTATTACCGTCTATGGAATGGTGCAAGCGTTGATCAAGCGTACAGATGAGAGGGAAGCCGGATATTAGTTGAGTATTCACCGTACGAAAGAAGACACGCATGGCGAAGCTGGGTAGTGTCACAGAAAGATGGCGCACCGGCGTCAGCCGGCTAGCCAACTGGTAACAACAGCAAAGAACGTTGGTACCTCCTTATAAAAATGAAACGTTGAATAATGTCACTGAAAAAAAATCCGAGAAAAAAACTACCAAAAGAAGCATGATATTTAGAGAGGCGAATCATCTCTTTTTTTATTGAGGATCCAGCCGCACTCACCACGGAAGTTCGCCAACTTATCATGGAACTTTAAATGAAGGCCTGGGTAGATCGATAGAGTCTACAAGGGTATTTACAAATATAGATAGCAAAACTGCAACCTGCACTTCACAGGCAACTTTTGAGCAGGTAACGTTTGTAATGGTGCAGTAGTAATGTAATGGTGTAAAGGTGGAGGCTTGGGTCCTGGAACTGTAAAGAATAAGCGAGAATCGGACATACTTCGAATCGAGTCTGTGGGACTCAGCGGTAGGTTAGACGTTCAACGACTCATTGACGTATTTCTATCCTACGCTTTATGCCTCACAGCCTACCTCCAACCCTCTGACCCTGCACCATTCCAAAGTCCACCTGCTGCAGTTTTGCTATCTATATTTGTAAATAACCTTATAGACTCTATCGATCTACCCAGGCCTCCATTTAAAATTCCGTGGCAACTTGGCGGACTTCCCTGGTTAGAGGACGATCCTTGGAAATGAATTGCATCGCATTATCAATCAAGACGATAGTGGTATCAATTTCCGGGCAGACAGACAGACGTAGCAAATTATATAATGTTGATATTTCTCGCATTATGGTTGTCAGCTATGGAAAAAGTTCCCTCATGTGAGTGGTCGCTTTTTGGAGCATGTCCTTTGCTGCCACTTCCTTTCGCACACATCAATGCACTTGTCCCACCCACTATATCTCTTATGGGATGGACGCCTCACTACTGCTGCGACGTGCGAATCTGAGAGTGAATTCCATTCCAACTCTTATTATCAGCACTTATCGTTTGCTATCAGCTTCTATCACTCACCGTCAGGGTCCCTGTCCCATCTCCTGCATGAGTTGTCGAGTCAAGCTTATCACTAATGCTGCGGCACGCGTCACGAATTTAGTGACCTCCCTTTTGGTGCCGTTTATAGGACCCCAGTAGCTGTCATCACTTCCTCTTACCCGCCAGGGATGTTCCCCCTCCTCCACTCCATATATACCCTTTTGGAACCCACGGGTAGTGCGACGGGCGCTATGAATTCCTTGACAGACAGAAAACAGACAGGCAAAAACAAACAAACACGTAGTCACACACTTGCAAACACATTTATGGTGCGTTATTCCATATATGTAATGGGACAGTAGGATTATGATAGTGTTAATCTACTAGCAATACTGACGCATTTCATACCGGTGCTTTTACTTGATAGTAGTGATAACTGATATGAGCTGATATGTCGACACTGAATCCGATCGACATAAGTAAAGAGGCCATTGAGATAGTGCGGATCAATCTCAATCATACTCCACTAAGCAAAGGAATCGAGAACCCTGGCTTAAACTTTCATCTTATAGAAAAATAGGCTTCACATTTGAGAACTTTATTAATGACTGTCACTAAACTGTAGCCTTTTCAGTACTCTGAAATAAGCTCACATAGACAGGGACGCCTGTGGCTCGACACTTCGTGATCCTCCTTATATTTCTAGAAGTATAGCTCCCGCATAACATAGATATTTAGCCCACCTCAACGACTGTCGGGTGACGAGAGTGCTGCAGCCGTCGAAACTGTCTAGTTTCAACACGACCTCAGTTAGACAATCTCTTACCCCTTACCTAACGGCGCAGTGGCGTGAATAATATGATAAATTTTGCTAGTAATGTTGTAGCTTTAGTGTCCAGTTTTTCGCTAGTGCTTCATAATTAATTTGCCCTCTCTATTATTTTTCATTCATTAGAGCACAGGCAGTAGCAAGCCATCTCAGCAAGAGGACTCTGCAAATCAACCATTCATGCTAAGTTCTCGGAGCAAAAGCTAGACGTTGCACTGACTGTTGATCCTGATTCAAACGCAAAGTTTTTGAATTTTTTTTCTGTGCAAGAGTTTTACTTCATTTTTTTGTCTCTTTTCTTTGCACTGGATGGCATTTGGTGCTGGAGGATGCGAAAAGCGATCTGATAGTGAGATGCGCAGAAACCTGGAAGCGTCGAGTTGCCAGCAAGTTCGGAGGGCTCGTACAATGAGGCTATGTCTACTGGTCGGGTTTCCTTTGTTTATGGCAATCTTGAGGATTCTTTTCGTTTTTTCCTTTTTCGGGGAATCTGAAGCACACTATCCATGTCCTTCACCCATACGGTATTGGTACATAACGCGCTCTAATATTGCTGCGTATTGACATCACTGCGTATTGGTTTCCCGCCTTATTATTCCCCAAGTTCTGTGAATTCTTTACCTACGTTTACACCCATCTTTCCTTTCCATTACTATCTTTTTAAAAAAGTTTAGCTCTTTTTAACGTCTGACTTCTAAACACACTGACTCATATTTCTCATTCAAGTTGCTTATGATTCTATGTCCCATACATACTTATTCTGTCTGTCCCTAACTCACTGAGGAGCCTCGGGGACAGACGGAATAAAGTGGTTCGTCTGAGATGAGGCGAAACGAACCACTTTTATTCCTCTTACCTACTAACTTACAATAACTTCTTTCTTTTCTTGTAATCACTTATCAGCTACTGGTTCACAACTGAGCGCCCATTATCCATGATATTTGCCTGCGGGAATTGTCTTCGAGGAGTAATCCACATGATCATTCACAAGCCACAGCTGGTAGCACTGCTACGGCGCGCCAGACCTGTCAACCCTTGTACAGTCCAATGCACTCACTTACCCCAAGATTTACGCTTAGTAGACTGAGCATGCCTGCAAGGATAGACACGAGATCTGGTATGAAAACAAGGAAGGCGAGACCCATACAAATCACTTCCGAATAAAGTGTTTGCCAGATGACGTCACCAAGAGCATCGCTCTGGAAATATTGACAGATGTTGAAACTCTCCTCATTGTGTGTATTATGAAAGAAACTTCAAACGTTACAGTTTACGTAGAATCGTCACCTGGTCGGCGTACGTGCTTCTCTCCGAATAAGCGTATACTCCAAGATCGCGATGTCTTCTGCCAATCGCACGCCATTCTTGAATGAGTGGGAACATCTCCTTATAGCTAGAAAATGGAAATTCAAGCTGTAGTCAGAGTGCAGAACCTTTCGTTCAATCCCTCCAAGTAATCGGCTCTCTATAGCAGAGGCCTCTGAATGCCATTTTGCTCACAAAGCAAACCGGGCGCTCGAACAAAGTTCATTATCATTCTCCTAAACATGACAGGATCGGGTAATGAGCTCTGAGAGACGATAGGCTCGATGACATGGGTCTGACAATGGCCTAAGAGTTAGGGCCTGTACAATTTGCGTACTATTTCTCCTTAAATGAGAAGAACTGGAAATCTTGCTCAGAACAGATGAAGTTGAATGTATAGGAATGTTTTACCAGTAGTGAACCCGATGTAGTGAATTGCGTTTAAGATACCCGGGTCTCGGACCATAGAATCGACTTCCACGCTCAGTATGTGCAAGCAGAGGAAAGCGTCCACAGACTTACTGACTTCAAGTCTTGCCCAATTTATACGGCGGCAGTCGTTTGAAGCGTAGCCAAGGAACATTTTCCGCCGATTGCAAAGCTACCTGCGTTGCGCCCTGTCTGTATGCCTTAGAGTGGCTAGACAAGCCAGCCCACTCTAGCTGCGACGTTCTTATCTGTAATGCCTTCCTCTGCCTCATCCCTCTTACTGATCTCCCTTCTGCCGTCGGCCCTTCCTTTCATCTACAGCTGTGTGCGTGTTCACCGAATCTGCAACTAACTGCCTCGCGAAGATCTTCTCATTTGTGGCTTTCAACGCGCTCCGCTGTTCTTACTATTGATCTGGTCGTAGCGCTAGCACCAAGTTCGGAAAAAAATGAGTTAACGATTTACATGGCGGGCAAAAAAAGACATTTCGACCGAGTCACATATCAGCAAAGTTTTCGTAGCCCAGACAGAGGACTGGATACGAGTACCAGGGAGGAAGATACCCAAGTGTTCCTCTACAAAGTAGGAGCTGTGCTTCGGCTCCCATCAGCGATTCATGTTACACCAAAATATGATAGGTTCATCTCCAGTCGCAGCCTGACTGGAGAAAACCTTGAATTCATGTCACCTCCAAACAGCTGCGAAACTTCTAGTATGGAGTCACCCATGGATAGCTACCTGGAGACCAAGCACTCTCGATCTAGAGCCTGCTCCAGGACATTCATGCGCACCGTCCAGGACATTATTCTTACGCAGCGCCAAGCGCGGCTCCCGTTGATCGTATTGAACCGACGTACCTGGAAGGGAAAGACCAATTATTTTCTTCTAGTGAACATCGGATCTGTAGGTGAGCGCTGCGATACACTGAGCAACATGGAGAAGAATATGCTCCCACATGTCGTTCGCTGTGACCTTCTTCGGGAAAACTTGTGTACGCCCACCAGCATTTGGTCCACCACATGCAATGAAGGGCCATGTGAGAAACGATCTCGCCGTAATTGGAATGGAAGGGGCTGAGGTACCCAAAAAAGATAGCGAATATCTGAAGTAGGCGTCACCCGACCTGAATCCCTCAATGTACTCGAGGTTCAAATAGCGGTGGTCATACCGGTGCGGGAAATCGAAAGACAATCGCGATCTCAGGCACCACACTCACATCAGCGTGCCAGAATCTCTCGATGCGCTCTCCAGAAGGCTGTGGCGGAGTGTCATGATAGTATTTAATATGCTCTTTAATATGGTGGTAAAAATGTCCGATCAGAATTTAATAAAGTGTAACTTATAGCGCCTCGAAAGTCAATGAAGAAAAGTGACTTTTTTTGCCCCCCCCTGTATATTTGGAAATCAAGCACAAAACCTATTACTAATCACTCTATCACATATCACACCACATTATTGAATTTCCTCACCTCGACAGCGTCGTAAATCCTGTGGTGAAAAGGAACGATGATAGGCATGACGGCTCATTTAAACCGCATCCAGTCTCGTTGATTCGCACTGTGCCTTTCCAGATGGGATTCAGTTTGAGGAAGTCAATAATGTGTGCATAAGTAAAATCCACCTCCTAAAAAAGCAAAAGTACTCGGAATAAGAAAAACGGGGTTCGTGATGCAAAGGTCTCCCAGAATGCAGCAACATCATTATTCTGCTGACCTGACCCTCTTCCTCAGCTTCGCGGAACATTAAAAAATCCAGATAGGGTCTTAGGAAGCAGAGTGTCGATTCTGGTCCGTAGCTGGAATGCCTTCTTTCATTAGGCGTTACATTTTTAGGGTAAAGTGAAGATGTTTGGTTATAGGCAAAACATTCGACCCTTCTCCTCAACACCTACGTTACCAAGCAAGCTTATTCATTAGCCTAGCCTTCATAAACCCTTCGACTCTCCCAATTTATTTATTTTATCGGTTCCATGGCTTCAGAGAGGACAGCAGACAACAAGACCCAACAAGCTTGAAGTTTGTCTGGAAGAAACAGCAAGGCCACTATATAAGGAATGGATGAATACACAAAGGGTTTGCGTAGTTGTCAAAACTATCAGTTCTTGGACGAAGCACTATACGATGTCCCCTAGAATTGCTGCTAGATCTATGAGTTGGTATAATTCACAGAAATGGTGGGCCGGGTTGGAAGTAAGGTAAGAAAGCTCTCGAATAAAGATTGTGAGCGCCAATCAACGGC